GATGCTTAACCCCAAATATCCCAAAACCCTTAACCGATTGGAAAACAGGGTACACTCTTATTCATGAGCCCTTTCCCTCTATATTTAAACCCCATGGATCATCTTTCAAATCGTTCTTTTTGGTTGTTTACACTTAGGTGGCTTCAATCTTCAAGTGTTCTTCAGGTTTTTAGTCTTATGCTCCATTTTTTTTTTTCATTTCTTCATGGTCTTCCACCGTTTTTGTTTTACGGTCTTGTTTTTCTTGATTTTTGGGTCTTTTTTCTTCCTATGCCATTTTTTTGTGCATCTTTGGTCCATTTTCCTTGAAGTTTTGGGGGAAATGATCATCTTGGTTTGCTCTATCTCATGAGCTCTTCACGTCACCTTATCCCACTATGGTCACCAGTGAAAACTTCTGGATTTTCTAAACTGGGAGGAAAACATCCACACAAGATCTTCCTAAAAAGTTTCAAATCTAATCTAATCCCTAAATCTAAAACTACACTACGAGAAGAGTGCACTTACATGCTTGTACCAATCTAAGTCGAGACTGTGAACACAACATGAAAGTGCTAATCCCATGCCTTTGATCCCTTGAAGGCGGTGGGTAAGTAAAACATTGCTATAAAGAGCCAAAGAGATAGGTAGAATTACAATGTATTGCAATATATTTTGTATTAGGGATAAGTCTAAAAACATTCTAAGTCCTACTGCTGCTCACGTCAAGGTTAAGAATACAGTCCTAACCTTGAACCTCTCAAGTTTGTTTTCCTAAGCATGAACTTCCAAGCTTGCTTTTTTCCTCTTTCTCCAAGTGAACAAAATCGTTAATGCCACATAATCCAAGAACTCAAAAGCGCAATCCTGGCTTCCACATTCACAAATGTAGAGCGCATTAGCCACCAAGACCAACACATTGTAATGCTTGACCAAGAAAATCAAATTATGCATTAGGAACTTGACGATATATGCCAAAGAATTGAGCTTGTCACTATGAAGACTAACCTTAGCAACCTGGAGCAAGATTTAGAAAATTTGACTACTTGAGGATAGGTAGTAACTTTGCTGTGGGGGAGTGATGAAAAAGTAAATGTTTTCACTTGTGTATCTTCCCAAGTAGAGCAAAAGAAGGAAGCTTAGGCAAAATGGAATTATGCCTAAGCTTAGGCATCCAAAAAAGAAATATCTAACCTAAGCACAAGCATGAAGCAATTAAGAATGGTTATAAAATTATGTAGTATATAAATAACACTTAGACGTGCTAAAAAAGAACTCACTATTGTATGCATTTGCATTGAATTAACCATTTTTTCTCCCACCTATGATTGTTTGTGCAAAATAGAGTTGAGAGAGTGACATATACTCACACCTTTGTAGTTCGATGCAATATATAGGTATATTACTCAATATCCCTTAGGGACTAAAAAAAGTATAAGACAAAACTCTCGAAACAAAAGTTTTGGTGTCACTTATGGTCCCTCTGCCTCCCAAGTGACTCTTTTGCGAAGCTAGAGCCATGCCCTAAGGAACTCAAGACTCCTCCTAGGGTGCTCCTCCTATTAAGCAATTTAAATCTCGAAACGAAAGTGATGCAGTGTTAATGTAACCACCCTCTACAATATCTGCCACCAAATCCAAAAATCCTCCCTTCCTAATCATCCTTAAAGTGAGACACTATATGTAGTCTTCCAAAAAGAATTCAGAAAGCTAAAAACTTTTTCAAGTTTCAATTGTTCCAAATCACCCTTAAGGTGATATCCAATTCCACCAATCCTTGACCGCTATCTTTGCAATTTGAGGTTGAGTTCTATTTTATTCTTTTTTCATTTTTCTTCTTTTCTTCTACGTTCTTGTCTTTGTTTGTTTGTCACTATTTTGCAAACAGGGGCAAGAATGCTAGTAAAGGCAAAAAAAGCCTTACTCATTATCTAAAAATGTTTATTAGAAAGTACTAATGTACTTTTTAAAACCTTATTTAATACAATTTTGATGAGTATGAGTATTTGTTGCCCACCAAACTTTCATTAATGGATTAGATAAATAAACTACAAGATTACAATCATTTTGAATAGTAATAAATATAGGAATTTTACAAATATAAAATGAATTTGAACAAGATCTATTAATGGACCATATTTTTCTTTCTCTTTCTGTATATAATGTAAGATTAGAATTTTCTTGTAGTACAAGTTTACATAATCCAAAATAAACTTCTTTATTATCAGAAATCCATAAAAGAGATTTCCCAGAGTATAATGAAACTGTACAATTTGATAAAATATAAAGTATATTTTTACCATTTGGTGATACTAAAAACTCATTAGTTAATAAATAGTTTCTAGGAAATTTAGCATATAATGTACTTTGAGAATTATCACAATTTATATGATTTAAAGAATATGTAATGTTTATTGGTGTAGGTGATATTAGATAGCTTAGATTCCACCATCGATCAATAATATATCGAAGTCTATAATTTCTACTTGTAATATCACACATGCTAGAGGCTGCATTAATTATGGTATCTTTATAATTATTTTTTAAATATTGAATACCAGATCTTATTGCACTACCACCAATTTTAGTATTGAAAACATCACCTACTAAACAATTTGGAGGATTTCCACCTAAGCGTTCAAATAATATCAAAGCAGATCCTCTACCAAAATTTACATATTCCCAATCCTCATAATTAGGTAAATAATTAAAATTAGATCTATTAATTCTATTTTCAATTTCTTGAATACCATCTTCAATAATAGTTCTAGCTTCATAATGATGCAAAGTATTATTAATTCCCCAATCTATACGTGCACTAAATCCCATATCCAAAACTATTACTGTATTAAATAAAAGTTGAAACATTTCAAATTCTAGAACTTTCAAAATATTTTTATTTATGTACATAGCAGTTGCTGTATCATTTGCCACATTTTTCAGTGGAGCATATACATGGCATACTCCACCAAAACCCTTGGATTTGTCATGGCAATCGTAAGAAAATCATCACTGCAAGTGGTGATGATGCCATTTGGCAGCAGCTGCACTTTCCTTTCTTAGAAGTGTTTGGAGGTAAGAATTTGGTCATTCCATTATAAATTATGCTTTTTTATTTTTTATTTCATGAATTGGCATTTGTCATTCTACTAATAACTATATCAATATTTTATGATTTAAATATAGTTTTATGAATAGTAGTGTTTCTATAATAAAAAGCTTTAGTATTAAAAATACTACAAATTTATATACTTTTATAAATTAATCTTAGAAATAGATATTAAAATTCTAAGATATAAATTTATTTAGCCAAATACTAACACTCGGATATCTGTTTATAATCAAAATATTCTTAACCATTATTTAAATTTCTAGATTTCTAAATGAACGGTCTCCAAGCTGTAGACCCTGCATTATCTTTGGGCGTTCTAAAGTCAGTGAATTCCAGGACATTAATGTTGCAACCCTTGCATTGGAAGAGATCGAGCAGCAGCAAGGGAAGAAACCTCTGGAAAGAATAGTGGTTCTGATCTCCAGATGCAACATCTACGTGTCAAAGATGATCATCAGGTGCTCATGGACTTTGGATCCCAGGTAGGAAAGCACTGGTGCAATTTTTTTCACGTTATTGTTCTTGCACAAGAAGTATGTCTACTGTGATCTATCCATCTTTGGCTTTAATGGACTTCAGGTAGTTTTGTTGCAGTAAGCAACTTCAAGCTTATGACTTGTATGTGATCTTTCTTGACAGCTACATCTTACCTCTTTCTGTTGTGTCAATCATTGCTTGGTTAGCCTCTGTGCCTTGAGTTATTCCCTTTGATGTTATTGACATAAATCCAAGCAAGACTTCCACAGCAAATTATTAGAATATTTCTTTAGAGAATTAAATCTTCTAGCAGCTTAAGTGTTTAATTCAGGGACTACAACGACATAACGAGATTCATAGCGCTTGCATGATAATCCTTGCCAAATGAGAGGAGGCACTGGAAACCTCCAAGTCATTGTACCTCGGGAAGCTGGTTCACGGGAGCTTTCAAGAGATTGGGATAGGCAGCCAGGATAACTGCCAGATACTCTGGATTCATCTGAAGAAATTTCTTGAACTCGGCCCAGCTGATAACACCGTCGTGATCCATGTCCAGACTGTTAAAGAGATGCTCGATCTGCGAAGGATTCTATTAGACTCGGCTCGTAGAAGATAAATAGGTCACCTGGATGGCCCCCAAGCTTGGGAACGTCTGCACCACCTGCTCAACTTCTTTTCTGGAGAGAAACCCATCCTTGTCTTGGTCGCACGCATAAAATGCAGCTTCAATTGTAGAAGAGAAAGCCGTGTGCGTGGAGATGAAAGCCAACCCTGCCATGAACTACAAAAGGAGAAAGTGTACTATTGGATGAAATGGAGAAGCTGTACCTCTCTGAAGTTCACGTAATTTTTCTCGGAAGTGTCGAACATCTGGAAGACTTGCATGGTGTATGGTGTAAGAGGGAGATCCACAATGTGCAGAAGACCGCTGGTAGAAGTGTCAGAGAACTGTTAGCAGCGGAAAATTCTAGTAAAATGCGAAACCATGTACCTGTGAGTTGTATCCATTGCGCTGAATTTCTTGAGATATGCTTCGGCAGTCTCGTAGTCGATATGGAACAGCTTTTCCATCCGAGAAAGCTCGGGTAGCTGCCCCGGAGGCAGATGCAGTTTCTTTGCCATGACCGCCAGTTTCATGTCCAAGAAAGTATGCCCCGTGCATGGAACGCCCAACGAAGCAGCCATCATATGCCGCACCGTCTCGGTGAAGTGGCGAGGGTCTTTGAGATCTCGGAGGCCGGGTTCCACCACTGGAAGGTATCCTGATAAGTAAATCTCTTCCAAAAGGTTTGAGGAAAGAAACAAAGTAAAAGTCTTACCTCCATGAAGTTGACGAGCTGTGTCATCAAATGAAACATGACATATGGCATGCTTCGATTCACCCATGCCGGACTGATGCGCTTGTGAGGATATCGTATGCACATCGGCTGGATTGGCAGGCCTTGAGCGAATGTCCCCGTCTTGAACGATATCAAGGCCTTTTCATTAGTCGTAGTTCCTTCTGGAAAGATGAGTACGTGAGGCCACTGTTATCGATGGCGCGTTGCCGGATTTGAGCTGCTGCGTCCCTTCTCGACCTGCGAATGGCTCTGTCCACTGGAATGATCTGCGAAAAATGAAGGTTCATGAAAGTTCTTCGCTTTAAAGCTTCAAGTTCTTTACCTGGAGAGCTGTAAGAAAGAGACCCACGATTGGAAGCTTGGCATTCTCCTTGGCGCTCAAGATCACTGGCATGTGTGAGAAAAATATGTAGACCGGATCCAAGAAAGATACGTGATTGGAGACGGACGATCGGGGCCACGTCCGGAGGAGCTGGAGTTCCTTTGATCGAAATCCAGACGTAACCGAATGCGAACATCGCGATCCTTGCACAGATTCTCAGGGGCCAGAGGAGAATTCTTCTCCAGCGCGAGAATGGCTTGTAAAGATGATATTTGACACCGATGAGTCCACACCTCACCGAGCAGTAGGCCAAGATCAATGCCGCTGCGAGAATTGCCAGCCGGAGGAGAAAGATTGGAAGCACGACGATCGTCTTGAAAATCTCCAATGGACTAAAACCCAAAGACTCCCCCTGGAATGGATTCATGACCGTGTTGGGGCCGATCGATGGCCGTTTGCCAAGGGGAAATGCGTCGACGGCATCCCGCTGCCGATCTTGGGCCATGGATCGATCCCTAGAGTGGAAAATCTACCTGTTCAAAGCCAGCGAGGTGGAAGAGGCGATGGACCGGGACAGTCTGGACCGAGCAGTAGAGCGTCCTCATGAGGATGGTGGTGCGCTTGTAAATCCCTGGAACTTCTAGTGCATGGGAGAGCGTGCCACTGTTGCTAGACCCTGTGTCTCTGGATAAACCGCTCGTGGCTGATCGTCCATCTCTCAAGCACTAAAGATTTTAAGATTTTAAAGTCTTTTCTCTTTTGATTTTTTTTCCTCTAGGCAAGTAGTAAAACTTTATCTTGCAAAACCATTTAATGGTCTGAAGGTTAAACACCTTTTCAAAATATTTATATTCAATTTTTTAATTTTGGACATCTAAATTAATTATAGATTGTGAGGGCCAAGTGTATGGCTAAAGTGTTGTATATTAATATTAGTGTAATGGGATTTTGATAGCCATTGGATTGGCTTTAATTCGGGAAATCTAGGACACTTGCTCTTGGGGTTAATTGATATGCACATTTTCTATATTCCCTTTCTATATTCCATGCACTCACATTGGTGGAGATGAAAGGCATTTTTTGATTATCACTGAGGAATGTTTGGATTTGGGACTTTGGTTTAAATCTAACTTTTGCATTGTCTAAATCTTGCTTTTTCCATTTTCTTTCTTTTGCTCTTTCCTTTTAGAACTTTGGTTTCGATCTAACTTTTTGCATTGTTTAGATCTCCTTTTCCTTCTAGCTTTTTGTTATTTCTCTTCTTTTGCTCTTTCTTTTTCAATTATTTTCATGGTAAATTAACAATCTCCTCCTTTGCTTTGGAGCAGTAGTTATACAATTGCTTGATGCTATGTGCTTGCAATTGAACAACCAAACTCAATTGATGGTAGCATTCATGGCACGTGGTACAACTCTTGGTGCCAATCCTCACATTCAACTGGAGTTCTTTCGTAGGAGTCCTGAGGATGATGTGTATCATTGGTTCAATCACTTCACGGTGATTACCACATATCATTCTTGGGATGATGCTTGACGTTTATGTGAGTTTCCCATGTGTCTCCAAGAGACAGCGCTGCAATGGTACAATGGTTTGAGTGTAGCCACTCGTGGGGATTGGAGTGTTCTCCCGGACGTTTTCAAATGCACATTCAGACATCCTGATGAATGTGATGATGCCTTTTAGCAATTGCATCGTTTTCATCAAGGACCATCTGAGTCGATGATGCAATTTGGCATTCGTTTCCGAAGCCTCTTGTTTCATGCGGAACCAAATATGTCGGAGAGGATCAAGCTAGGAATGTTATGGCTAGCACTTTGTCAAGATTTTGTCAGACTTGTGCATGCACTTGCTCCAGCCACCCTTGACGATGCTCTTCGCTTGGTACAACCTTATGAGATGTCACATTTTCCACTTCTCGTTGCATGTCCTTCTACTCCAATTCCTGTGGGCGATAGTCTTGTTCCAATGGAGGTTGATGTTGCTACTGCTTGAGTCCAAGGACAAGGACGAGGACATGGTTGTGGCCATGACATTCGTTGTTGGGCATGTGATGAAGTTGGTCACACTTCTTGGCATTGTCGGTGTTTTCCAGATTGGCAACTTCCATTTCCTGGGTGGAGACCTTGGCGTCAACAACATCCTGTTGGTGCTGTTGCAGTGGAAGGTCTAGACACCGAGCTGCATCCGGGAAACGAAGAGTCACGTGAGTAATGGAGGGACCTTCTGTAAATAAGTTAGTGACCCCTCCATCTTTCTTTAGGGAGTATAATCAAGGGGTTCACTTGGCACCAATTCATCCAGTGCTTACTTTCCAAGCTTGTTTTTATAACAAGAGGTCTCCTATTATTCTCTCCATGTTGGTTGATACAGGTTCAAGTTTATCTTCTATTGCTCAACTTGTTGCCATACATTGTCGACTACATTTGTGTCGTGCGGCAGAACCAATTTTCATTCTTCATGGCAACAGCCGTACACATGCATGTGCACGGGATGAGGTGGACCTAGTTGTGCATGTGGGCGATCTCGAGCTTGGGTTGCAGTCATTGTGGGTGGTGCTGAGTTAAGCTTTTAATTTCATACTTGGTATAGATTGGTTGTAGCGCAATCATGCCAAATGTGACTTTTAGGTTTCTCCCCCTTGTCTCATACTTCCTTATATTTCATCTATTCCTCTCACTTCTATACTTCTTCGTCCCTCTACTTCTACCTTTGTTTCCATTACTTTTGTTCCCCCATTATTTCCTCCTATATTTCCATCTTGTTCTACTCTTCCCTTTTCCAATCCCTCGACAATCTTTATGCTATAGTAGTTGACTGGCTCATGAAAGAGTATTTTGATGTCTTTAAATTTGACTTATTGTCTGGGGCCAAGATTGCCACACATCATTTGATTCTAACCAAGGATGCTCGTCCAATCAAGGTTTCTGTTCATCATTAGTCACCTAAAAAGATCAAGATTTTACATGCAAATGTCAAGGAGATGTTGAAGAAGGGTGTTATTTGGAGGTCACAGAGTCCTTGGGCATGTGAACCTCATTGTAAGCCACAATTTTTTCTTTTCCAATTTGTCAGTTTACCTCATTTATCTTACCAACACTGCCTTGGCTTTAGTTAAGTTCCCTCACCAAGGTTCTCACCTATTGTACCAACTCCTACTTGATCCTATTTAGTGTCAACTACTCACTACATAAGCAACGAAACATTAGCCATCCATCCATGAATTCCCAAATCTCTCCCAATCCCCCTCCCCAGGTTAAACTAGACTTAAGATTCGGCTACACTCTCTGCTAGCATAAGCAGCCAAACACACCAAGCCTCCAGGTTTCTAAAATCCCTTGGTACAACAAGATTTGATCATGGGACCCTCTAAATCCCAAGCCTTATCGTATTTGATGGCCACTCTAGACCTGTCCTCTATCCAATGATCAGTGTTGTGTTCATGAGTAGTCATCGAGGGGGTTTGATCAGGTCTTGGCGCAGCCGCATTATATGGCTATAAGAGAGCGAACAGATTAAAGAATGCTACATTTACAGTAAATGAAAAGTGGCAAAAATCAGAACCACGTGTTTTGGGCGTCTTGGCACCTCTTGCCCAAAGGTAGTGATAAAATTAAACACACATGCATTACAGTCAACCTAAGTCACTCTAGGTCAATGGCCCGGTCAGAGCTAGCAGCCCATCTTAGTTGAATATACGTATCTGCTACATTCCAAGAATATTGATGATAATAATCTGACAGTTAAATATTCGAACTAATGCGGATTGGGTGGGTGACGATTAGAAATAGCACATGTGGCACGTGGAAGATTCATGTACTTTAAAGATATATATATATACTATTATCTTTAAATATATAAAGGATAAATATGGACATTTATTTAATTTAATGTTTTCCATCTTAATCAATACAATAGTAGTTTTAGATATAAGTTGTAATACAAATATAAACTGGAGAATTAATAATACTTTACTTTATCATGAAGTTAGAAATATTATTGATGGAATTCAACAAATTGAAACTAGAGTTAATAAATCTAATTATGATTATCCCCCTAATTATGAGGATTGGGAATCTGTGAATTTTGGTAGAGGATCTGCTCTAATATTGTTTGAACGGTTAGGTGGAAATCCTCCAAATTTCTTAGTAGGTAATGTTTTCAATGATAAAATTAGTGGTAATACTATTAAATCTGGTATTCAATATTTAAAAAATATATATAAAAATGACATAATTATTGCATGCTCTAGCATGTGTGATATTAAAGTTAGAAACTATAGACTAAGATATATTATTGATGGATGGTGGAACAATAGCTATTTGATAAATCCTTTATCAAAAGATAATCCAAATTCTTTATATATTAATTGTGATAATACTAAAAGTACATTATATACAAAATTTCCAAAGGATCATTTACTAACTAATGAGTTTTTAGTATCACCAAATGGAAAAAATATACTTTATATATTATCAAATTTTAAAATTGCATTATATTCTGGAAAAAACCGTTTATGGATCTCAGATAGTGCAAATATTTATTGGGGATTATGTAAACTTATACTCCAAGGAGATGCTAATCTTGTACCATATACAGAAAAAGAAAAAAAAATGTGGTCTATAAATAAATATTGTGTAAATTCACATTGTAAACTTCTTACATTTATTACTATTCAAAATGATTGTAACCTTGTAATTTACTCATCTAGTCCATTAAAGGAAGTGTAGTGGGCAACAAATACACATACTCATCCAGGTTGTATTAAATAAATTTTAAAATACATTATAACTTATGAATAAAAAAATTTTAGTTGAATTTTTTTAAGTTATATATAACATTTATGAGTTCTGGGATATAAGAATAGATATCTTAATTGGGGTTTAGACCCCTATTTTTATACAAGAATGAATGGACCAAATTTAATCCTAAATAGACAATCTATATGCTTTAGTACTATAAATAATGTATTACCTAGCTAGGGTAATACATGTGTATATATATATATATATAAACTTTACACCATCGTCCCCTCCAAAAGATGAAAAGGTGATAACAATAAGTCAAGTGGAATATCTGGAGTTTCTGTTGAATAATTATAAACTACCACAAAAATCTGAAACTTCCAAAAAACCATTAGCAATTATTAACAACTATGGCTAAAACAAAACCCCAAAGCTATAGCACAAGCATTAGTCAACTATAGAATCTTGATGAACTAATTGCAACTCTATATACATCTCCTAAATACTCAAACCATCCATGAAGCTATTATTTTAAACTGAAGCAATAGAATTTGAAAGCCACTACAATCTATAAAGCACTATTGTAGTAAATAATATATTCTGTCTCTAAGTCTATCTGTCAAAGATCCTTCAAGACCACAATTAACTCGAACTCATGACTATAAGTAGAATTTACCTTTGCGTCTTTCCTTTGGTCAACATTTAAAACCCACATTAACTTAAATTCAATTATTGTCTTGGTTCAACACTACACATGGGAGGTTAGATTCACTCCATTTTTCTCTTACATCCTCTTTATCCCCTCTTTAAAGGAAAAAAAAGCTTTGAAACATCAACTTTGTTTAAATTCATTACACTCATCCTCATTTTGCCATTTATGTTCAATCTCACTCCATTATCACATTTGTTCACCCTCACTAATATTACTCATCCTTACTCCACTATTGTATTTGCTTGTCTTTACTCCATCATTGGGGCTAGACTCCTGTCCCCCCTCCTCCAATGAAAAAAAAAGTTTGAAGCATCAAGGCAAAGAAAAAAAAGTGATAAAAATTGAGGAAGAAATAATATGAAAGAAGAAAAGGTGAATAAAGAAACATTGGAAGAAGAAGTTTCAACAACTATCAATGTAGAAAAAAAATAATGAAATAAAAACAAGATTCTCAACTTCATACATATACTCAATATCCAAATTAGAATGAGGATATAAAACACTCAACTCAACATTAGAATGAAAATGAGAATCATAATAGTCACAAATGATCGATATGCTATAAAAAAAGAAAAACTGTATATAAGCAAGAAATATTAGGAACATGAGATGGTGGCTTAGGCTGATAAATGGAAAAAGGTTAGGAAAGAGTACAAGGTGAAGAGAAAGAATCAAATGGCAGACTAAAGGATTGACATTTACCCTGCAAAATCTCCATTTCATCTCCAAAGCTATTTTTATAATAATTAAGCTTCTTATCACAATCTAGAATCCATTTAAGCTCATAAACATCATCTTCCCATAAACTTGAGCTTTGAACATTCTCTAAAAACTAAATTATATCATCCATAACTCACCAATCAATATCACAATCACACTCCACATTAATAAGAGATGGTAGAACACCAAGAATAAGATAAATTATGTAATCATGTCCTATAGAAGTTAGAGACAACAACACACAAGGATGGGTGTAATATTTATATGATCACACCTTATAGCACTAAAAGTTCAATTTAATGGAGCAGTATTAGTAGCATCAAGTGACATATTATTTGATTGATAACGACATAGCATGGTAGAAAAATGCAATGAAGATAAGAAGAATAGTAGATTTAAGCACAACAATAGCTAGAATTCTAAATCCTAGAAAAAAATATAATACAAATCTAAATTTAAAAAAGAATGAAGAAATAAGAACAAAAAACATGATCTTGAACACTAGAGCAAAACATTGCTAAAAAGCTTTACCCTTGATGGACAAATTATAGTGGCCCTCATTTCCACAAATATTAGTGTTTGAGATATAGGAATATGTATTTTTTACTTATATACATATACATATACATACATATACATATACATATAGATATATATATACATATACATATATATACATATATATATACATATAGATATATATATAAATATACATATATATATATATACATATATATATACATATACATATATATATACATATACATATATATATACATATACATATATATATATATATATATATATATATATATATATATATATATATATATATATATATATATATATATATATATACAAACCTTACACACTTTTATATTAAATTGTAGTCATGTGGTGAGGTATTAAACTTATTCTAAAATCTTATATTCTAATATTATTGTATGATGTCAGTTTTTTTTTTTTTTTTTTTGCAGCCAAGAAAGTTTCGTACAGGGCCACACGAATTCTTAATCTTATTTTATCATTTTCCAATTATTTAGATTTTATATATTATACAAAGCAAACCAAGAGTTGCACAGAATAGCAAATTAAATCTTCCATTAGCATGATTTATCAAATCAATTTTTCTCACCAGTAACAAGATTCACAGCGCTTGCATGATAACCTTTGGCCCGTACTGGCCCTTGCCAAATGAGAGGAGGTTATAGAAACCTCCAAATCATTGTACCTCAGTTCACGGGAGCTTTCAAGAGATTGGGATAGGCAGCCAGGATAACTGCCAGATACTCTGGATTCATTTGAAGAAATTTCTTGAACTCGGCCCAGCTGATAACACCATCGTGGTCCATGTCCAGACTGTTAAAGAGATGCTCGATCTGTGAAGGATTCTATTAGACTCGGCTCGTAGAAAATAAGTAAGTCACCTGGATCGCCCCCAAGCTCGGGAACGTCTGCACCAAGGCCTGCTCAACTTCTTTTCTGGAGAGAAACCCATCCTTGTCTTGGTCGCACGCATAAAATGCAGCTTCGATTGTAGAAGAGAAAGCCGTGTGCGTGGAGACGAAAGCCAACCCTGCCATGAACTACAAAAGAAGAAAGTGTATTATTGGATAAAATGGAGAAGATGTACCTCTCTGAAGTTCACGTAATTTTTCTCGGAAGTGTCGAACATCTGGAAGACTTGCATTGTATATGGTGTAAGAGGAAGATCCAGCGCCTTGAGGAAATCCACAATGTGCAGAAGACCGCTGGTAGAAGTGTCAGAGAACTGTTAGCAGCGGAAAATTCTAGTAAAATGCGAAACCATGTACCTGTGAGTTGTATCCATTGCGCTGAATTTCTTGAGATATGCTTCGGCAGTCTCGTAGTCGATATGGAACAGCTTTTCCATCCGAGAAAGCTCGGGTAGCTGCTCCGGAGGCAGATGCAGTTTCTTTGCCATGACCGCCAGTTTCATGTCCAAGAAAGTATGCTCCGTGCATGGAACGCCCAACGAAGCAGCCATCATATGCCGCACCGTCTCGGTGAAGTGGCGAGGGTCTTTGAGATCTCGGAGGCCGGGTTCCACCACTGGAAGGTATTGCACCTGATAAGTAAATCGCTTCCAAAAGGTTTGAGGAAAGAAACAAGGCAAAACTCTTACCTCCATGAAGTTGACGAGCTGCGTCATCAAACGAAACATGACATACGGCATGCTTCGATTCACCCATGCCGGACTGATGCACTTGTGAGGATATCGTATGCACATCGGCTGGATTGGCAGGCCTTGAGCGAACGCCCCCGTCTTGAACGATATCAAGGCCTTTCCATTAGTCGTAGTTCCTTCTGGAAAGATGAGTACGTGAGGCCACTTGTTATCGATGGCGCGTCGCCGGATTTGAGCTGCGGCGTCCCTTCTCGACCTGCGAATGGCTCTGTCCACTGGAATGATCTGCGAAAAATGAAAGTTCATGGAAGTTCTTCGCTTTAAAGCTTTAAGTTCTTTACCTGGAGCGCTGTAAGAAAGAGACCCACGATTGGAAGCTTGGCATTCTCCTTGGCGCTCAAGATCACTGGCATGTGTGAGAAAAATATGTAGACCGGATCCAAGAAAGATACGTGATTGGAGACGACGATCGGGGCCACGTCCCGAGGAGCCGGAGTTCCTTTGATCGAAATCCAGACGTAACCGAATGCGAACATCGCGATCCTTGCACAGATTCTCAGGGGCCAGAGGAGAATTCTTCTCCAGCGCGAGAATGGCTTGTAGAGAGGATCTTCGACGCCGATGAGTGCGCACCTCACCGAGCAGTAGGCCAAGATCAACGCCGCCGCGAGAATTGCCAGCCGGAGGAGAAAGATTGGAAGCATGAGGATAGTCTTGAAAATCTCCGATGGACTAAAACCCAAAGACTCCCCCTGGAATGGATTCACCACCGCCTCGGGGCCGATCGGTGGCCGCTTGCCAAGGGGAAATGCGTCGGCAGCATCCCGCTGCCGATCTTGGGCCATGGATCGATCCCTAGAGTGGAAAATCTACCTGTTCAAAGCCAGAAGAGATTCAGCTGCCGCGCACCATAGATCATCCGCCGCAATGCCGCTGCGCATCCCTGGAGAGAAGAAGAGGATCGAGCACGATCGATGAGAATCTCGCTATGGCGCTCAACGCAAGCCACGAATCACAAAAAATTAAAAAAACTTTGCTTCGCGATTAACGCTGTCTTTACATCTACCGTCGAATTTCAACGATGAGATTCGTTTTGCCGTTAGACGAATAGACCCCCGGGATCCTTGTTCAAAGAAATATACTCCCCAGCGATACGTATTACCGCAAACATCGCGACACATTGGCGATTTCTTTATTCGACACATAGCGCCGGGCTCTGCCACGTGTCGTATTTGCTAGTATAAATTCTCGAGTCCCGTAGTGGAGGAAATATCATAGCATACACGCATTTTATAGCGATTTTCTAGGCGATCCTTCAATCTTCTGAGGCTTTTCTAGCAAGATGGCAGTCGCAGTAGGCACTAGCATTGCAGCAATCCCTTCCTCGCTCTTAAAATCCTCTCTAGGAGCGGCCGCTCACAAGTCTCGATCCAATCGCTCCTTGACCTTCCTGCCAGTGAGAGCTTCGTCGGATAATGGCCGACGAACCCCTGGAGGAGGCGATGGGATCAGCAGCGTTCTGGACCAGACCAAGAAGGAGATCACCCGCGAGGATGTGCTCAAGAACCAGGCCGAGAATGAGTCGGAGAAGAAGTCCGTGTTTGGAGCGGTGCCATCGTCCGGAGCATTGTGGCCGAGGCCTGAGATTGAGAGGCGGCCAGAAACGGGCGATCGATCATTTGCGAGCTTGATGGCATTCGATGGCGCTGGCCCAGAGACGATCAACGGCAGACTGGTAAGTCCCTCCCTTCTCCAAAGTTCAGGATCCGTGGAGTCCGTTGTTCTAAGTTTATTTTTCCATTGATACAGGCAATGGTTGGAATCTTGTGGGCCTTTGCTGTGGAGAGAATGACGGGACAAACGGTGGCCGAGCAGCTCTACACGCCAGGCAACTTCGGCTTGTTTAACTTCTTGGCGGTGGCACAGCTCTTTGCTTACGCGTCGCTGGTTCCCATGTTTAAGGGAGAGAGCCCCGATAGCCGATCTTTGGGCCCGTTTAGAGCCATGGCGGAGCGCTGGAATGGGCGGACTGCCATGCTTGGCTTCCTCGCTCTGGTGGTCACGGAGTTCTTCACCAAGACCCCAGTTTTTCACATGATGTAAGTGACCTGAGAGTCTGTAAATTTTGTTCATTAAATTTTTGTTAATATTTTTAAACATAGTTCTGTAATGGTGCTTTGATCGTGAATCTCCCTTCCCCCCTCAATCTGATAACTCTTGCTAAAGCGCTCAAACTGCTGCACTATGATTTGTCTTTGCGAGATGTGCTGTTCTGGCAATCTGCTCGGCGGGCTAGAAATCTCAGTGGATTTCACCTTTTTCGCACTCACAACGCACTAAAAACTACCATCGCCATGATCGAGCACTGGGCGCGTTGATAGCGGAGTAGCCGGCATTTTTTAATACGTTCGATCTCGTAAAGCCATCTATTTTGAACAAATCAAAGATTTACAGTTACGTTTACAATAAATGGAAAGTGGCAAGAAAATCAGAAGCATGTGTTTTGTTTGGTGTCTAGCTAATCGACTGCCTCTTGTTAAAACTCTTAATATAAAGTCTATGGCAAGAGAAAAAGATGACGTGGCAGGGAGCCAAGAAAATTTCCAAAGTATAAAAGCTATGAACAAAATAAGTCATGGGGACACTATTGGAAGCAGGCTTGTGGTCACAGGCCATTATGTGCCTGAAGATTGGAGCATAATGGCAGCAAATCCCTATTAAATTGGCCTTGGACACAAAGATCACTTAATGGGGACTGAAAAAGGGATATTAGGGAAGGCAAACCCCATGTTTGTGGGCATCCTAAGGATGATTTCCATTTGATCATAGGCTTTTTATATTTCACCAAATTTTTTTGTCTCCACCACATCTTCTAAGAGACTAATCAACCCCACCTCTTGCTCAAAGCCTTTGCAAGCAAGTCAGTTCATCAGTTATTGGGGTGGTGATAAAATAATAAATTCACATGTTATTTGCTAATGTGATTTTGAACCTTGCTTACCAGTTGAACTCGTTCACCCACATGTCTGCAAAAAATCTTAAATTTGCCATATCGCCTGCCTGGGCAAATCCCTCCAAGAAACATGAAAGCAGCTACAATAGGGGAGGTTAAGCAAATTTAAAGCTACCCCAAGTCACTTGTTATCTAGAAAGACTAACCAATTTAATTAAGAACCCTAATTCTTTATTAAATTGCGAAAAAGGATGATACAATGTGCTCATATGACTTGGGACCACCATATTTCCACATGGCGTGCAATTCGTAAAAGGGTGGAAACAACTGGTATTTTTTACTCATAATACGTGTCTGGCTGCTATTGGTCCACGTGTAATGCGAGTGTGAAAAAAACACAGGCATAGAATATTTCACGAATATCCATTCCTTATGCCACAGATGGGGCTTCATGCCCATAGCAATGACCCATACTACGTGCGGAATGGAGTCATTCATGCTGTGGAATGGACCCCCAGGTAGCTCGTCACCCTTCTGTCTAGAGTTGCCAAGCTGAATCTCACTGGTTCCTTATCCCACCCAAAGGCATCGGAATCGAGCTTGAGTCTCCAAGAGACGGTGTTGCTCCTCCTCGGCCTCAGCCTGGTGTGCGTCCTCATCCTGGTGCTCTTCTCGCCGCTGCTGGTGACGTTCATGCTCTTCATGCTCTTCATGCTGGGGATCGCGGGGCTGGCCTGATCGAGGCGCCGGCTGGGGCGTCACAATAGCCGGCGGAGGCGCTACAAGCACCGCAGCGCTGGCGATGGATTCTTCTGTCTGGGGCGACGATCTGGTAACAAGCGGGAATGAAGGGCTGGACAGCGAGAAGCAGCAAAGGGTGAACCGAGTATCTGGAAGACCAGCTCAAGAATCTCGAGGACCTCAGGCCGCTGGAAGCTCCATTCCTGGGAATCGACGATGCCTGGGCAGCTCCTCTCGATCGTTCCTCCTCTTGGGACGGATTGGACGACGACGACGGTTTCTTCCTGGACAATTGCGGCGCTCGCAGCAATGTGTCCGACCTGGGGGATGAAAACTCCGGGAGTCTAGAGGTTTGGCAGCAACAGAGAATTGGTGGCACATAGCTTAGTTCCTAGAGCTAGGCTCAACTTCCTGTTCCCAGAGAGCTCTAGCTACTTAAGTATCTGGCGCCATGCTTTGAGGACCATTCCCAGTATTCTGCGGTGCTTCCCCAAGTCACAGCCACGGAGAAAAGCTGTGGCAAACAGCCAAAATAGCTCGATCGATCCATAAGCCCTGGAGAAAGCGAGAAAAAAATTTATGAGCCAGAGAGGATCACCAAAAAAAAGCGCTTCTTACTAGGATTCTTGCTTAGATCAAATATTTTTCCCAAGAGAAAGAACCTCTGATCCGTCTCCGATGAGAATGTGTCCACCCATACCCATCGGGCTAGCATCCATGGGGCATCCATGAAGCATCCAAATGACATTTAATGCCAAACCAATAGGAAACTGCCACATGGACACTAATTGTGAGTGAAATTTGCCACGGTAACATCCACCCTTTTAAGAATTACACGCCATAACTGCAACCCACTTTAGAACTAGTAGGATGAGGACTCCAACCTGCCAGTACTATCACACACTCTTGCAAGAAAAAGATCAAATAATCTCTATTTCTCAGATTTGTTTACGTCCTACTCCAGAAATCTCCCTCAATCGCTCAATCTTCTTAAAAGAACACTGTGAACCCTAACTTCTCAAGATTCAAGATTCAAATCATGCCCTGTCTGACTATTTCTAGTTTGGATGATACCTTTGTTTTTCCCTGGAGCTTTCTTCTTTCTTTTAAGGATCTCCAGGTATGTGAGTGAGTTAAGATCAGAGGTACTACTACATTTTTGTGCCTCAGCATGAACCGAATCATCTGATTTGTCAAAAGGTGGAAATGTCAAGTGGCCCCAGCTGAATGACGAGTTTAAGGTGTTCATGGTAAAGGTAAATATTGCTTCAATGGTCACTGTAAACTACTATACCTGGTTGTCTCCAAAGCCCCAAGTCTTCGCTAACAGGCATGACCGGCAGCTCTTGGTGCTCTTGACATGTTCCCATGTCTTAGGTTCGTCTGAGAAAGTATGAACATAGCATTAAACAGGGGAGAAGAAACAAATACCCGCTACTTTCTAAACCGTGAGTTTTCCCTGCAAATCACATTGTCGAATTTCAACAATGAGATTTGTTTTGCCGTTAAACGAATATACCCCCACGATTTTATGTGTTAGAAGAATGGTCCTCCCAGGGATACGTATTACCGCAAACATCGCGACACATTGCGAATTTCCATATTCGACACATAGGGCCCGATGCAGCCACATGTCGTATTTACAAGTATAAATTCACGAGTCCCAAAATGGGAGAAAGTATCACAGACATCTACCAAAGCTCACACAACGCTTTTTCTATCTTTCAATCTTCTGAGGCTTTTCTAGCAAGATGGCACTCGCGGTAGGCAGTGGCATTGCAGCAATCCATTCCTCGCTCTCAAAATCCTCTCTAGGAGCGGCCGCTCCCAAGTCTCGATCCAATCGCTCCTTGGCCTTCCTGCCAGTGAGAGCTTCGTCGGACAAAGGCCGACGAACCAGCGGCGGAGGCGATGGGATCAGCAGCGTACTGGACCAGACCAAGAAGGAGATCACCCGCGAGGATGTGCTCAAGAACCAGGCCGAGAACGAGGCGGAGAAGAGGTCCGTGTTTGGAGCGGTGCCATCGTCCGGAGCAATGTGGCCGAGGCCGGAGATCGAGCGGCGGCCAGAAACGGGCGATCGATCATTCGCGAGCTTGATGGCATTCGATGGCGCTGGCCCAGAGACGATCAACGGCAGACTGGTAAGTCCCTCCCTTCTCCAAAGTTCAGGATCCGTGGAGTCCGTTGTTCTAAGTTTATTTTTCCATTGATACAGGCAATGGTTGGAATCTTGTGGGCCTTTGCTGTGGAGAGAATGACGGGACAAACGGTGGCCGAGCAGCTCTACACGCCAGGCAACTTTGGCTTGTTTAACTTCTTGGCGGTGGCACAGCTCTTTGCTTACGCGTCGCTGGTTCCCATGTTTAAGGGGGAGAGCCCAGATAGCCGATCTTTGGGCCCGTTTAGAGCCATGGCGGAGCGCTGGAATGGGCGGACTGCCATGCTTGGCTTCCTCGCTCTGGTGCTCACGGAATTCTTCACCAAGACCCCAGTTTTTCACATGATGTAAGAGGTAGAAATTTGTTGATTTGTAAATTTTGGCCAGTACTTAAATAGATATTAACTTGGTAGTCAAATTCTACATGGAAAACGAAAAACGGTTTGGATCCCCTTAACACTATCAATGAGATTTTCTAGAAACACTTTGAAAAAGTTGATTTAGAAAAGCGTTGTTCAAGATTTGATAACAAAAAATTTGATAGAGAGACGGCGGGCTTATTCTTATTCCAGAGCCGCCCAAATAGCTGGATCACCGTAGTTTTTGGCCAGAAACGTTGCGCCGGCTTCACGAAGAGCAGCCTCAGGATTCCCCGTTGTCAATCCCACCACTGCCATGCCCGCGGCGACGCCTGCTTTGATTCCAGATGGCGAGTCCTACGATCATCCACGAGAATCGTTAGTCAAAAGAAAAGCCGTGATAAAACTAGCAAAAGAACGTAAGAAATAAGAACAGAGGTCCAAAGAAAGACGTCGAGAATTTGATCACCTCAAAGACGAAGGCATTGTCCGCCGTGATGCCGAAATGATCCAGAGCCTTGAGGTACGGATCTGGGAATGGCTTTGCTCGAGCGCAATCGCTCCCCAGGATCACCGTCTCGAAGAAACCTTCCAGCCCGACCTGGGAGATCATAAACTCGACGTTCTCCTTTGGAGCATTGCTCACGGCAGCGCGACGCAGGCCTTTCTCTTTGATCCACTTGCACAGCTTGTGGAGGCCGGGTAGCGCCTTGAGATCCTTTGCCGCGAGCCTGCAAATCTAGACGGAAGAATCACGGCGAATTCTTCCAAGAGAAGAGAAAGGATCGATCTTTGTACCTGCGAAAGTATGCCTCTTTGTCATCGAAGAACTTGGAGCGCTTGGCTTCGTCCCAGTCCGGAAAGAGGAGCAGCCCGATATCGCGATTGTGCTTGCCGCTAATGTGGCCACAGAAATACTCCCGCGTGATCGGAGCTCCTCCCTGGAATCCGACCTAAAATCGCAGCGGGGTGTGTGAAATCGGGGAATCCAATCGGAAAGAGAGGCGACGCTCGGGCAAGATCGATCGGCGTACCTCCTGGAGCATATCGCGAAACGCCTGGTAATGCACCGGATCGGAATCGCACAGCGTCCCATCGACATCGAACAGGATCGCTCGCAGCGATTGTGGCGATGGAAGCGATCTCCGCCTGCTCGCCGCAGCATCTGTGTAGAGATAGCGATTCCACGATCAGAGATCTAAGATTCATTGGCGCTCTTCGTACCGCCATTGGAGCTATGCGACATTGCCGACGAGACCGATTCCCCCCTTCTTCTTTTTTTCTTCTCGGGGCCTTTTCTTTCAAGAACAAAAGCAACGGGGAGTGTGCTGCCACGTGTCTGACATCCAGGCCGTCGGGATGGCTACCGTGGTTTGAATCCATGACGTTGTTTCTGGTACATCACGCGTTTGGCTTCGAAAGGTACTCCGTACAAGCGCATCCCAGAACATTCCAAGGAAGATTCTAGCGTTCGTTAGAAAAAAGTCGGCTTTAAGAAATCTCTCGATGTTAATAAATTTATCTTAAGCCACAATTAAATGAAAGTTAAAACAGTTCTTACTATAGTAAAAAAAAGAGTTCACAGTTAAGCTCGCCACCTTCTGTCCAAAACCCAGAACTGAAGGCGACGAGCATACTGCATCCTGCAATCCAAAACCACAACAGCAACAAACTTATCTCTCCAGCTCCAAATAACTAGTCATTTCTTCTTGGCCGCCGCCTTGGTAACCTTGGCACCGGTGGGTTCCTTCTTCTCCACGGCTTTGATCACTCCCACTGCCACCGTCTGCCTCATGTCACGCACCGCAAAGCGTCCCAATGGAGGATACTCCGCGAACGTCTCCACAACCATGGGCTTGGTCGGCAGCATCTTCACGAAACCAGCGTCACCGTTCTTCAGGAACTTGGGCTCCTTCTCCAGCTCCTTTCCGGATCGCCTGTCCACCTTGGTCAGGATCTCGGCGAACTTGACGGCGATGTGAGAGGTGTGGCAGTCGAGCACCGGGGTGTAGCCGTTTCCAATCTGTCCCGGGTGGTTCATGATGATCACCTGGGAAGTGAAGCTGGCAGCCTCCTTGGCCGGGTCGTTCTTCGAGTCAGAAGCCACGAAACCACGCTTGAGATCCTTCACCGCGACGTTCTTCACGTTGAACCCGACGTTGTCACCGGGGAGTGCCTCCACAAGGGACTCGTGGTGCATCTCCACGGACTTCACCTCAGTCGTCAGTCCGGTTGGGCCGAAAGTCACCACCATACCGGGCTTCAGGACTCCGGTCTCCACTCGTCCCACGGGAACGGTTCCAATTCCTCCGATCTTGTAAACGTCCTGGAGTGGGAGGCGGAGGGGCTTGTCCGAAGGCCTCTTGGGCTCGGTCACCTGGTCCAAAGCCTCGAGAAGAGTCGGGCCCTTGTACCATTCGAGGTTGGTCGACCTCTCGATCATGTTGTCACCCTCGAAACCGGAAATGGGAACGAAAGGGATCTTGTCAGGGTTGTAGCCGACCTTCTTGAGGTAGGACGACACCTCCTTGACGATTTCTTCGTACCTCGCCTTGGAGTACTTGGGGGTGGTAGCGTCCATCTAAACAACAGAAAAAAATCCATGAGACATACCCTTCGAAAACTACAAGCTATGAATATAAAACCATACCTTGTTACAGCAGCAGATCATCTGCTTCACTCCAAGAGTAAAAGCGAGAAGAGCGTGCTCACGGGTCTGACCATCTTTGGAGATACCAGCCTCGAAACCTCCAGTGGTGGAATCGATGATGAGAACAGCGCAGTCAGCCTTTCACAAACACAAATAAAAAAATTAGCACACAAAACCAACAGTGTAAGGAAAAAGAGGACTCACCTGGGAAGTTCCCGTGATCATGTTCTTGATGAAATCACGGTGACCGGGAGCGTCGATGACGGTGCAGTAGTACTTGTTGGTCTCGAACTTCCACAGCGCAATATCGATAGTGATTCCACGCTCGCGCTCAGCCTTGAGCTTGTCCAGCACCCAGGCGTACTTGAACGACCGCTTGTTCATCTCGGCCGCCTCCTTCTCGAACCTCTCGATCGTTCGCTTATCGATTCCTCCCAGCTTGTAGATGAGATGCCCCGTGGTAGTGGACTTGCCGGAGTCGACATGTCCAATGACCACGATGTTGATGTGAGCCTTCTCCTTACCCATGGCTGCTACCTGAATCGAGCGACAGCCAAAGATTCAGTGTTAGAGCATCGAAATTGAAGAAAAGAAGCACTAGATCTAGAATTCTCGGCGCTAGAGTACCTGCGCAGAAGACGAAAGAAGGGCCGAGGAACCCTAGCCGCCTCAAGAGGGTTTCTCTCAAGTGAAGACCACAAACTTATATTCTTTCCATCCGGGTTAGGGGTTTGACACCAGCCGTGCGATCGCTATCCGACGGCCAGGACAGTTTCCTCATTGCAAAGCTAACTTACCGTGCCAAATTAAGCCCAATCTCGTACGGATGGAAAGTACAAAAATGCCAAAGTAACGGGGCGTTTTAGGGTTTATTGCTTTGGCGATGGCGTTTTCCTCTCTGCGCTCTTCTTTGCTGCGCGCGCTTGGTAAGCCGTGCGCTCGATCGCCGGAATATCACGCTTTGGCTGTGTAGGCGCCACGAAATGCAGCAGTGAATCGGCGAGATTGGGGCGTGTAATGTGTCGTGGCTGCTCCGACGAGGCCTCGGCCTCGGACATCGAGGAATCGGTAGCCAAGGACGGTGATCAATCGGGGCGGAAGCTCCGTGCGCCTGCATTCCAGGGAGTGTACAAGGTATTGAAATCCTTCGTGCTTGAACCAGTCCTTTTTTCTTCTTTTACGTTGAACGATCACAGCTAGAAGCTCTCGTTCTATCTAGTTCATTGAAGTCAGCGTAGATTGAAAGTATCGAGGTTTTCTTTTCTTGTGAATGTAGGCTGTGATCGTGGGAGAACTTACGCAGCCACCAGCCGAGCTCGTTCTCAAGAATGGAAACGCGATCGTCACGCTGATGGTCGCGACTGGAGGGCTGCGCGTGCAAAAGAAGTTGAATGCTCCAACGAAGCAAATCCACAAGGTGGTCGTTTACCATCGGCGGCTCAAGGATCTGGCGACGCAGATAAAAAAGGGGTGAGTGGAGTTCTTGGTGTTCGTCCTTTTTCTTTCCAAGATGTGTTTGTGCGAATCGCCCAGGCAGCAGATCTATCTAGAAGGCAACATGGAGTCGAGGGTCTTCAATGATCCTGTTACTGGCGCCGTCAAGCTATCGCGAGAGATCTCCGTGAGACAAAATGGTAAGCATGGTTTCTTCTCATTACCCGAGACCTTGGTCCTTGTTGTTCCTTCTTTTTTGTTCTAGGACGTTTGTTTATGCTGGACGATCTGGAATTGAGGGGGGTCAATCTCAAATCTCCTGAAGTGGAGGAAGGAAAGCGATGAAAACGAAACGAAAAGGTGGTTTTTTTTTCACTGTTGTAACATAACAAACCTTTCTCAAAATGACACTGTAAATCTTTAAGTTAGGGTTTTTTTATAGCCAATTAGTTTCAATAAATGTTTAAAATGACATAACAACTCTTTATTCGTCAATGTATTGCACCAAAAAAAAAGCTGGACATACCTTTAAGCAAGCCAAATCTTGAGTGTTGTAGATTTAGATTTACTGATCATCGAAATGATGTCATGATCATGCATATGATGACAACACAAGAGGATCTAGACAAGCTTGATTAGGAATTTCTATTGTTTGCATGATTTCTTTTCATTGAAATGGCTGCAAAATCTAGAATTGCGCCATAATGACATCATGAATAGAACTTGGCCACCCACAACAAATGTCTAAAAACTATTTTCTACTGTCAACAACTGCTTGTATAGTGATGTTGAATAAATGGTGCTTGGAATACACCCTAGGATCTTTAGTTAACTGCATGATCTCAAATTGAATGTAGTTGATGTATCCTGCAATATTTGGAAGCTCGCATACCAAGGCAAATCTCTGGATAAAAGTTAAGTCTTCTAGGAACTTGATCAAGTCTCTAAGTGTATTGATAATTACCTTGCACAATCCCAACTGTTGTACTCTCACCAATCCTAAAGAGCTCTGAGAGTGTTATATACTTAGCTGCATTTCCTAGGTTATGCAAAGTACAAGCTACTTAGACTCGCACCAAAACTACTCTTTAATAGTTACTATCATGCTTCAGAATGAGATCATATAGGAGATTCACAAGACTAGTGAAAGTTAACATTCCCATGCCAAAGTTTTGCTTCTAACAAGTGTTATCATAAAATTGCTCAAAAAATCTGTCAAACTATGTTGTCGAGTGTGGCTTCACCCACCATAAGTGACACATATCAACTCATGGAGCTCTAAGTTGTTCATCTTGTTTTTCATAATACTGTGTTTGTAACAAATGAGGACGCAAGCAACATACAAGAGAAAGCGAGAATAAAAGTGAGCAAAAGCAATGACAAATAATGAAACAACTACTTATTGAAGGTGAGAGAGTCGATCTCTAAGGGCTAGACAGATTTCTCAAATGCTGTTTCTTTACTCTTTTGCTAATTCAGATCATCACTTGCTTACTCTAGCGAGGCAATAAAAGAATGCGATGAGAGTTTCAGAATACATACCAATCACAATGAATCTGCCATTGCTCTTGGAAAGTATGGGACAAATTTGACAGGCCTGATGTTTATACCTCGAACAGTATAGAGTTCTTTCCTCCTCGTGCGTGTGCGCGTCTCTATCGGGCATCATCTATCAGGTATATAGGTTTTACGGGGCTACCAACAGTTTCTACATTTCAGATTGACTCATTTCTCGTTTGTTGTAACAGGCACACCACCAGGAGTTTTCTTATCCTTTCACCATTAACAGCTTCTTACTAGTGGACGATTTTCAGGAGACAATTCAAGCTCTTGGAAGCGCTTTGTACCAGCCACTTACAGTCGTCGGGGATAGACCAGCAGATGTATTCCTGGAGAGGGATCAAAACTTTGCCAGCTTTTAGTTGTCGTAAAACTCGATCGTGAGAATCCACATCCTTTTCAAAAATCCACACGCAGTTCACTCTCTCCGTCTCGAATTTACCTTGCCCTTGTTTGTTTTTTGTTCCATCGCGTCCAGTGGTGCTCCCTTCGTGTGGCTGTAACGTTGATGAATTGGTGATCGTTAGCATAGGCCCTAAACCCTAATCAAGAATATTCGCTTAGGGCTCTAAGGTTTGTTGTTGCGGGGAGGGAATGCTGCTGCAGCCCAGGCGATGGCGGCAGCTAATGGATGGGATCGGGCGTGCGGGGCGTCAGGTCGATTCGGCATGCTCTTGGCGGCAGCCGATCCATGGCGCTGGAGGGCCTGGGCCTCGGATCGAGCCGGCATTCTCTTGCCTGCGCAGGTTTTACGCAATCCTCACCATGGATGACTGCATTCCCAAGCCGCGGCCCATCGTGGAGGCCGTTCCCAAGCCCATGGACAGGACGTCGAGGAGGACAGGTCTCATTGCTGTGAAATGCGGCATGACCGCGGTCTGGGACAAATGGGGGCGGAGGATTCCAATCACTGTGCTATGGGCCGACGATAACCAGGTTGTCCAAGTGAAGACAGTGGATCACGAAGGATTCAACGCTCTCCAGGTAAGTTTTGTTTTCTCTTGCAAAGCTTTGCTCGACTCTTTAGGCCTATTTGGTTTTTTTTTTTTGTGTGTTTTTCTGGCTTCTTAGGTGGGATGTGGCCAGAAGAAGCCCAAGCAGCTGAGCATACCAGAGCTCGGCCATTTCCGATCGAAAGGCGTGCCGATCAAGCGAAAGCTCAAAGAGTTTCAAGTCTCGGAAGACGCGCTCCTCCCGGTCGGGACCGCACTTACCGTGAGGCATTTTGTTCCTGGCCAGTTCTTGGACGTCACCGGCGTCAGCATAGGAAAAGGATTCCAGGTTTTTGTTGCTTCTAGTTTGGATCTTGTTTGATGTTACTTTGTTTATGTATCAGGGTCCGATGAAAAGATGGGGTTTTGCTGGAATGCCTGCGTCCCACGGAGCCTCGCTTTCTCACAGAAGCCATGGAGCCACTGGAGGAAGAAAATCACCAGGCAAAGTAAGCATGACGATGCCATAGAAGTCGATGCTGTTGCTAAGTTTCTTTCTCTCTTTCAGGTTTTCAAGAATAAAAAGATGGCAGGACAAATGGGAAACCGGAAGGCCACTGTGTTTTGCGTCTGGGTTTACAAAGTGGAGCCGCAGCGAGATCTTATATGGGTCAAAGGACAGGTACTTACTCACGAGAAAATTTGGTTTCTCTTGTCTTTCTTTCAGTTAGAAATGCGAGCTCTCTCTACAGGTACCGGGTTGCAAAGGAAATTTTGTCTACATCAGAGACTCTTGGAACAAGCCGCCAGACGTTTCGCTCACTCCTTTTCCGACACATTTCGCTCCTCCTGACGAAGATCCTGCGACTCTAGAGGCACTGATCGCAGATGTAGGAGCCGAAGATCCTTTCCAAGTTGATGAAGAGAAGAAGTGATCATAGCAAAGTTTTGGAATAATCGGCGTTTCTAACTTATTCCAAATGACGATTCTGGGCTTGACATTTCACCAATTACTGTTTGCTACCAATTTCAAGATACCAAATCTAGTTTCAAATGAAAACAGGCCACAAAGCTGATATATATATTTGCGAAAGACCTCAAAATGGTTCGTCCTTTCACGGTTGCTCTACTCTTGAGCTCATTTGGACCATCACTTGCATACTCTGAGGCTATTGTAGAATGTGATCGAAGTGAAAGTGTATGTAATGATCATTTTTCATATTTCGGATGACCTTAATGATGCACGGGCTCCTGATTGCAAGATTTGGTCAACTTGTAATGATCTTCACAACCATGATCAAATGGTGAGTGATTTTGCGGAAGCTATCTGTGACATCTGGAAAGATTGTTTGCATGATAGAGTAGTATAGAGAGATAGTTCCACTCCCGGACAACAGTTAAGTTATCTTTACTGTAAATCTGAGAATGGTTAGGTAAGTAAATACTAAATTAGTAATAATTTTTCTAAGAAAAACTTAAAAGATGGTAAGAGCTTCTCTAAAGGTAGTATTGGAACCATATGTTTTTGTTCCTGACAACTTTTCAAGGTATTAATTCTATATAATGCCTTCCATGCACCTCTGACCTCAAAGATGTTTATCACTTGGAGCATTTAGGACTTGAAAAAGTTTTTAGTTTTTAAAGTATTTTTAAATAACTATGTATGATGTTTTGTTTTGAAGATGATTGGGATGGGAACATTTTGTGATAAAAATGGCAGATGGAGGTGATTCAATATTGCACACATAACATTGGAAAATAAATATATAGATCCCTTAGTTTTGGAGGAAGTTCATGGTATCTACTCCCTATAG